AATTACTGTTCCTCCGTCACAGGCCTGAAGTGGAAACGGCTGAACGCCCACTCGAAAAAATGTCTCACCAGCTGGGCCAGGTGGCAGGGAGGCAGTGGCTCCTGGCCCTCCTCTCAGCTTCTGGGTGGTTCTCACCTCCCTCCCTGCACCCACCAGGCCTCCGTGCTAGTTTAGCTGGTTCTGGAAGGCTGGCTCCTCTCCAACCCCAAGAAGACACACACAGTACAACAGAGGGGATGCAGACTAGCCCTCAGCAAGGATTTTCAGCCTGTCTGGGAGAAGAGGGGAGTAAGCTGCGGGTTTCTCGTTATCTGGAAGGCTTAGGCTTTGGAGGTTCCACCTTGCTGAGTCCTGGGCAACACAGCTTTGGGCAGGGCCTGTGAAGCTTCAGAGGCTTTGGAAATAATCTGTCTTCAGAGCAGAGCATGGCACTCACTAACATGGTGGGCTGGTGACCAACGGCAACCCCCGCTGGGACTCGGATGGCCTGGGTTCCAGTGTTAGCTCTGCCCCTTTCTATGCCTCTCTGGCCTCAAGAAACCATCAGTCAAGTGGGGATGATAACCTTGGCCTGCCCACCTCTGTTGTGAAGTCAGAGTGGAGATCTGTCGGCAGGATCTCCCAGCAGTAGGGAAAAGTACCAGGGGCGACCTTTCTCTGCGTGTTTGGGACATCCACTGTCCCAGAGATGTGTGTCCCAACGGAGACCGAGGTGGTTATCTCTACTTTGGCAGACTCTGTTTAGAGGAGGTTTGTGTGGAGGCTCAGACTCATGAGAGCCTCTTGACTGCGGGCCCCTCCCTGTCTTCATCAAGGTCAGAGGCAAATGTCAGAGATCACCTAGTTCAACTCCCGCTGGCCCGGTGCTCCGGCACCTTTCCTAGAAGTAGCCACAGTCTCTGCTCAGAAATGGGGAGCCCACCTTCTTCTGAAGCTGCCTCTGCTGAGAAAGGGCTTCCTTATATTGAGTCCATATAAGCCTCCCTGTCTGTAACCCCCCCTCTCCTGCCACCCCACCACAGGGTCTCTGTGTGCCCGGGGGAGCCTTAGAGAATATTTGCTTGGGTCCCCCTGCTCCAGGGCACTCCCACAGAGATCAGAAGACTCAGGTTGTACACCCTGATCTCCCCCACCCCCCAAAACCCTAGTGACCAGGAGAGGGTAAATAAAAGAGAGAAACAAAAGGGAGAGAGAACATCTTGGTTCTATCCCCTCCACATTGGTCTACCTTTAGAGAAGGCTCTGTACTCAGCTGTAGAAGGCACTGGAAGGCCTTCACTTTCTGAACACAAACCTGAGCATTTCACTTCCCTTCTTAAAACCCGCCAGCACCTCCCCAGTGCCAACCACCCCACCCTTGCCACACTGAACTCTTCGTTTCACACCTCTGGCTCTTGTCCTGTAATGTCTCACAGCCCTTTTCCCGTGGCAAACTCCTATGTTTCTCCAGACCCCAGTTCAAAATAATAACTCCCTTAAAAGATAAAAATAAATGAAAAACTAAATAAGAAAGAGAAGAAACAGGAAAAAAAAAAAAAACCACCTCACTTATGAACCTCTCCCTGGCACCCTCCCCAGCTCCCCATTCCCCAAGGCAGAGATGATACCATTACAAGTGGTTTTTTGTCTGGTCTCAGCTTAAGTCAGAAGGGGGACTGGGTTCCTGAGTGTGTGTGTGTGTGTGTGTGTGTGTGTGTGTGTGTGTGTGTGTGTGAGAGAGAGAGAGAGATTGCCCAGAATGTGTATCCAAACCCCCTCCTCCAGACCCTGATCCATTCATTGGATGATTTTTTTTTTTAGCATCTACTGTGAGTCAGGTGCTGTGGGGCTAGGATCTAGAGACAGAGTGAATGAAACAGACCAGGATCCTACTGTCCACTGGTGCAGACTCCCATGTTGTCACAAGGAGAAGAGAGGCTGTCAGTTGGTAAGTCCCTCAATGTCCGGCCGTCAAACCGGCGAACCTCCCTCCACACCCATCTTTCTTCTCCCCGTTCCTTCTAGACCTAGAGGAAAGGATGAGCCACCTCCTGTTGGAGGCCTCCAGCCCCTCCTCCTTCACTCTGGGTCCTGCCCCCTTCTCCTCCTCCCAGACTATCTTCCATCACTCATATGGTTCCTACTTCTTACATTGCTCCTTCTCTACTGCTTCCTCCTGGTGACAGAACAGAGGAATGGAGCGGTAAAAGTGGTCCATTTGGGGTGCAGGCAGGAAGGGCACGATGTGCGGAGTATTAAAAAACAATGAAACTGATGAAAACATGGCCCGATCTTGGTTAGCAACAAGTGTCAGCAATTCTAAGCCATGTCTGTAATAAAATACATCCCCCCTGGGGCAGACCACTCCCACCACCCCCTGCTTGGTGCCCCACTGGCTCCTTCCCTCAGCATATAAATAAACAAGGCTCCCATCTACAGTCAAAATCTCCTCTCAACCCAATGTCTTCCTCAAGATACCACCTCCCTCTCCTCCCCTTTCCAATCCAGCCTCCCAGAGACTTTGTGTGTGTTCCCTACTCTAGCTCCCCAACTTCCTTCATCCCCCAGCCTCCTGGCAGCCTGGTCTCTCTCTCTGTTACTCAACAGAAACTGCTTTGGCCAGGGCCACCGGGTGGACATTGTCCAAACCTCACCTTACCTGACTGCTCACCAACACTATAAGCCGTTCCCCCCTGGACCCCTCCGCCTCCCTTGGCTGCCAGAAATAACACTCTCCTAGATCTTCCCCAGCCTCTGATTCTCCCTCAAGGTCCTTTTTTATGGGCTTTGGTTCTCCTACTCCCCCTTAAACCCTTAAATACCGCTGTTCTATGAGACTTCATCATTGGCCCTCTTGCTTCTTACCTCGCCTTGGTCTGTCCCAACCGTACCCACAGCTTCAAGTAGTATCTCTCTCTCTCTCTCTCAATCTCTCTCTCTCTCTCTCTGTTGCTGAGCTCCAGACTCACTTTCTAGCTACCTCCACTTGATGCACCCCAGACACCACAGATTCGGTGTCCATCGATGTCCTGTGATCTCTACCCCAGCAAATGATCCTCTGTCCATCCAATCCCCTAGAAGTAAATGAATCAAAAAGGACTCTTCTTTTCTCCTGTGTCACATGGTCACCAAGTGCTGTGGAGGCTATCACATCCATCCTCATCTCTCAATGACCTCTGCTACCATCTCACTGCAGACCATGCGTTCTTTCTCCTGGACTGTTGTCCTATCTTTCTTACTTTCTACCCCTTAATCCTTCCTTCCTCAGTTCTTTCTTTGTAATTACGGCTTGAGTGATCTTTTGAAAATACACATCTGAACATGCCAGACCCCTGCTTCAAAGCCTCCCCGTTGGTCAACAGCATATAGTCTCAGCACTTTATCCTAAAGCTCAAGGCCCTTCATGATTTGTTCCTGCCCCTCTCCAGCCCCATCAGCCCTCACACCCCCAAATGCCCTCTGCCCCCAGCCCCAGTCATGCTACATTCCCTCCTGCCTCCATGCTTCTGCAGACAGTCTCTTAAGTCAGAATGCTTTTATTTGCCTGGAAGAAAGGCCTTCTCACTGTCTCTCTCCACACTTAGATTTGGGTTCTCCCTTCTCCAGGCTTCCTCAGTTCTCTGTTGATATGTATCACACCCTATGGTAACCACTCCTTCACTCAATACATTTCCACCGGGCACCACATCCTGTTATGGATACTGGGGCTGCTAAAATGTGATACAACCATTGCCTGAAGTCAGTCACTAGTCCAGTGGTGGAAACACACACAAGTAGATCACTACATAGCATGGGGTAAGTGCAGAAACAGAGATTGCAGTCAACTGTACTTAATTTTGTTTAAGCAACAAGTAGAGGTTGCAATGGGTGCTGGAGAACAGAAGTGGATCCTAACCCTACTTGGAGAGTTCAGGAAGGTTCGTGCCTCCAAGTCCCTTACTAATCCATAAGTTCCCACCAGGAAAGAGATGGTGACATTCATCTAAATATATATAATAAACCCTCCCTACATGCACTTGGCAAGTTCTGAACTCATATCGAATGGACAGTCGAACAAAGGAGTGACATTAAGTTGAGTCATTTCCTCCTCTGTCTTCCCACCTCTATATTAATCCCTCCATTGGATCACATATCACCTTGTGATTTTTCAATTTTTATGTTTTCCACCTATAGAGCTTCTGAAGAGTTGAGACTATCTCTGACTCATTTCTGTTGTCCTGGCACCCAGAAAAGGACGTGGCTTAGCAGAAGCCTCTCTTGATCTGTCTACACTAAGGGCACACATCCATACCCCATCTTTACCCTCAGTCCTCAGAGCCACAGATAGGGGAGAAAAGGAGAGGTCTGGCCCGGTGCCCACACAGACCTGAGAACCCAACAGAGCCCCCACATGAAGGGTCTCCCTCAGGGGGCACTTTGACTCACAGTTCGAAGAGTTGGGTGGGATCTTACTAGTCATCTAGCACAACCTCTCAGTCTTTCTCTCCAGCTCAAGAATCCCCCTGCCAGACCCTGACTTGCATATTATCAGTGACAGGGGGCTCACTATAATGTAACCAATCCCCCTAGTGCATAGCTAGTAGAGTTGGGCTGCTGTATCATTTTTCTTTATGCATACGGGAGGCAGCATGGCGTAATAGAAAGAACTTGGCAGTTGGGCAAATCTGGTTCGAACCCTTGTTCCCCATCTACTAACTTTGCAAGCGAGGTGCTAATCTCTCTGAGCCTCCGTTTCCTCATCTGTGAAATAGGGATACTGGTGACTTACTTTATTGCCAAGAATAAGTGAGACATCCTTTGCGAGGTGCTTATCATAGTGCCTGAAATATAAGCCCCTAATGCCCCCTTATATGGAGTCAAATTCACCTCCTCGTAACTTCGTTCAGTGGTCCTGGCTGGACCCACTGGAAAGCTCCACAGAAGGTCAGGGCTCTGGGCTCCACAGCCCACAGCTGCTCCACTCCTCCTTCTGCCTCTTTGATCTACGGCACACTCTCTCCCAATTGCCACCTGCGCGCTACGCCCCCACGCCACGCCCCCTCGTCCGCTGAATACCTTCACAGATGTCACCACGTTCCTGGAATCCCGCACTGCAGCTGCAGCGGCCCACGGGCACCAGCCATTCACCATCAGCGCCACAGTGCATGCGCGGGGGGCTGCCGGGCTCCCCTTCTGAGTGCGCCACGCACGTTCCCGTCACCTCCACCAGCGTGGAGAAGGCACTCTCAGCTGCGGTGGCTGGGAACGCCGCCAGGCCCCGCACCGTCGCGCGGCACTGCTTGTAGTAGACGCGCACAGAGACCAGCGCAACGCATGCGCCCACGTCCTGAAAGGCCAGGTGGAAACCCCGCCGGCTGAGCGGACCGATCTCGCGCACCTCTGTGTTCAGCTTCATCTTGCGCTCTCCCAGGTCGCCCTGCGTGAAGCTCTCATCTGCAGCGATTGTATCGATCTTGCGGGGCCGGCTGCCACCTGGGCGGGGACGCCCGCGGCCCAGGTCAGCCTCTGTTTCCAGGTAGTAGACGTTGAAAGTCTCCTTGCAGGTGCCCGCGGCGCCCGGGATGCTGCTGCAGTCGCGCAGTGTGAACTGCAGCTCCACGAAGATGCGCTGCCCGCGGCCACGGCTGATCCAGCCAGTTTGCAACCAGTTGTCCTGGTTGGGCTCCAGCACGTTGCACACCTGGTATGTGCGGATCGGACGGTCATGCTCGTCCACGCCGCTGATCTCCTCCCACTGGGGAGGAGAACAAAGATGTGGGAAGCTCAGAGCCAAGGCGCCCCCAGGAGGTGAAGCCCTGGTGGTGTCTAAAGCTGAAAAACCCCTTCCCCATCATCTCGCATTCCACACACACCCCATCCCCATGAAATTATAAGATGCAGAGCTGGGAGAAACGTTGGAGACAAAGAGTCCAACCCTTAATTTATAGGTCGGGAAACTGAGGCTCCAGAAAGAGTGATTTGACTGGATATGAACATCGAATTAACAGCAGAGCTGGGAATGGTGTCTGAAGTCTCCCGGCTCTCCACCAGGTGCCCACACGGGGACCAGGCTGCAGTCATACAGCCACATCTGCCCACCCCCACCAAGTTTCTAAGCCACTTTCAGGATTTTAAATCTTGCTCCTTCTGTCAATCCATCAATCAGCAACACTGCTTGGAGGACCTGCTATGCGCAAGACACTGTCCAGCATTGGCTCATCTAGATGACACGTTTCTGTTGCTAGACACAGTCGGTTTTCCCCTCACTATCTCTCTTTTTTTTTCTTTTCTTCTTAGACTGACTGAAGACTCAACGTTTTCTAATAGGCCACTCTGGCTTGAAGCTAGTGCCGCTGGAGATCATGTGCTCTGAGGAGCATTTTGATCTGCTGTAACCACAAAGAGCTAAAGGAATTGAGTCTCAGACCACCAGAAGATTCCTGGGAGAGGGAGAGAAAGGTTACACTTACCCCATTACTTGGCAGTGCAGTCCAGCCCAACTCAGCCTGGGAGGCTTTGGAATCCAGGAGGATGACTAGGGAGAGGAAGAACAGAGATGTCAGAAAGTCAGAAGGTCAGGAAGGTGGGAGGGACCCTTTTGTGAGTTCGTTGTAAACTTGCTGAGGGAGCAGAGACAAATTTTTCCCACCCCGTACCTTCCCATGAAGGCGTGGGGTGTGAGTAGCTTGAGTCCAGAAAGAGGTAGCCACAACAATTAGGCAAGGAGCCTGTAGCAGTTTCCTGTGGTTGCTGTAACAAATCATCACAAACTCTGTGGCTTCAAGTATCAATTACTTATTTATTCTCTTATAGTTCTGGAGGTCAGAAGTTGAAAATCAATTTCATTGGTCTAAAGTTGGGCTGTCAGCAGGACTGGTTCCATCTGTAGGTTCAGAGGGGAGAATCCATTTCCTTGAGTTTTTCAGCTTCTAGTGGCCATCTGGATTCCTTGGCTTGTGGCATCCTCCTCCATCTTCAAAGTGCTTCACTCCAGTCCTTCTGTGATCAAGTTGCCTTCTCTCACTGACTCCTTCTGCTTCCCTCTTGTAAGGACCCTTGTGATTACATTGGGGCCATCCAAATAATCCAGGATAATCTCCCCATCTCAGGATCCCTAACCACATCTGCAAAGTCTTTTGCATTTAGAATAAGATTGATTGGTTTTGGGGATGAATTAGGATGTGGACATATTTGGGGAGTCATTATTCAGCCTGCCAGAGTTCATGGAAGCACTCTTAACATTGGCTCTAAGAAAGGAGTGGTGGTGTCAGTAAGCCCCCCTTTCTGCCTTCTAGGCTCCCTAAATTATAACTGCATGTCAAGAAGAGACAGAAAGTGAGCATATTAGAGGATTTCTGCATACATCCTGAATTCATTCATACTCAGGGGCTCATCTGAGGTCTGAAGCCACCAGGGATGGAAGAGACTAGAACCTTTTCAGTTTGACTCTTAGGGGCTCTGGGAAAAATGAGTGGACTCTGCCAGCAGCAGGAGAAATGAAAATTTCTTCTCTCCTGCTCTCGGTATCGGTCCCAAAGAAGCATTGGTCTGGATAGCACAGCAGCAGCTCAGAGACAGGAGCCCAGGCCATCTTGAAGTCTTGGAAGATTACAAATCTAGAGCTTAAGCAAGGGGGTGGGGCTCCAAGGTGAGGGTCTCTAAGAGGGTTGGCTCCAGAGGCATCAGTGACAATAAGCAGGACCACCGACAGCTTCCTGATTTTGTTATAACTGACAGCACATCGGAATTGCATATTGGCGTCAGAGATCCAGCGCCCCAACCCCCCGGTCAGCGCTTTAGATTCCAGCTCCTCAGGATTCTACACCTGGATATGACGCCTCTGGATTCAGTTGAGTGTACGGCTCCCCCAAATCCAGAGGCAAGGCGCGAGCCCTGGTACCGCAGGCAGCTCCAAGCCCAACAGCGCGGACCGCTTCGGGTAGTCCGCGCTCCAAATTCAGCACTGCGGACAGCTCCCTCGCCAGCACGTCGGGCTACTCCCGGACCCAGCCATCCCTCCCCTACCAGCGCTCCACCTCCTGCCTCGCGGTTCGGGCTCCATCCCGTCGTCCCGTACTTCGATCTCACCTCCACACCTCCCTGTCTCCTCTGCTCTCTTCATCTCCCTGCCCCCACACCTCCCACCTCCAATCGCTCAGCCTGTCCGTCTCACCGGCACCTGAACCGCCGCCTCTGGCTCTCACGATTCCTGGTCTCTTTCCTTCCCAGCCTTCCAGGTCTCCAGCCCGATCTCCTTAGCTACCTTTGCTTAGCTACCTTTTTCTCTGCCTCTTTAGTTCTTTGCTTCTCGCTGCCCGCTTGCCTCAAACCCCAATACAGACTCCAGTCTCTCTATACGATTCCTTGCCTCAGACCCCCAGTTCTCCAGCTTCCTATCTTTTGGCATTCCAAGCTCCAAGAACAGCCACCAGTTTCCTCACCTTCCTCGGCGATCCCGGGCCTCCCTGGTCCCAAAAGCAACGCCAGACAGAGCGGCATCAGGCAGACGAACAGGCGCAACGGATGTGGGCCCGCACCGGTCTCCATGGTCCGCAGACCGAGCTGTCAGTGCGGCGGCGGCTCAAGCCGCGCCAGCCCCAGCACCGCTGAGCAGTGCCCCCAGACCCTAGCTCCTTCTGGGGGCGGGATCTCGCTGGTTACCGTCATCCATGGGGACCAATCACTAGGCACCGCCGCGGGAAGTCCACCAATCCCCGCCAGCAGAAGGTGGAGGGGTGGAGTTTCATAGGCCAGGGGCGGAACGGCGAAATGGAGGGGGGAAGGAAGGGGTCCCGCCAATCTCCCAACGTGGGGGTGGGTAGCTCTGAACGCTGGTCTGGCTCCTGGGGAGGAGGATGAGCCGGCGACGAAGGTCCACAGCGCAAAACCTTAGCCTCTCATTCCTGAGAAGTAGACAATGTGGGCGTGGCTTAAAGAGGGGCGAACCTCGGGGAGGCCGCGACACTTGCAGCCTCTGAGCTAGGCTGGAAGCTCCCTTGTTCCCAGGACTTTCAAGGGGTTTTGAAGCCTGATGTCCCGACCCCAAGCTCTAGGGAGCTCCTCTATCTACAAGCCCTTGGCTTCTTCCTGCGTCTGAGGCTCCTGGTGTCTTATGGCTCAATCCTGCCCTCTTCTCTCCCCGCCCTCCTCACACAACACACACACACACACACACACACACACACACACACACACACACACACCGGCAGGAGGAAGGGGCTAAGGTTGACCCTGGGAGCTACTCTAGAAAGGAGAGCAAAGTGGGAGACGGAGTCCCACCCTACCAGCAGCGCTTCCGAGGTTGGGAAACCATGTGGACGCCAGGATGGGGCGGTGGTAAATTTTGCATGAACGATCGGTTCCTCAGGTTCCTGCTTTTGCTGCCAGGACACAGGCAGCACTCTGCACAACTACCCTTTTCCCCAGTCTGCTCAGAGCCTGGAGTCCCCCCCCCCCCCCCCCCCCCCCCCCCCCGCCTTGATAATCCCTCTCCGCCCATCCCAGGGGACTGGGAAGGAGCTCAGCGGCAGGGACTCCCAGGGGTCTGCGAAAGAGGCGGAGCAATCCTCGCGGAGTTCAGCCAGCGCTGGGGAAGCTGCAAGGAAACGTGGAACACGACCTCTATCTAGTGAAGGTCATTTATGTGCAAGCTGAGGGTTTAAGGCGTTGGTGGTGGGAAGGGCTGGAGCCCTCCAGGACGAGGGAGGCGGCTATTGAGCGCCACCATCTGGGCTGAACTTGAGCAGAGAAAGCTCCACCCACCCTGTGGCTTTTCAAAGCTCTTTTCTTGGGGGACCCAACACCGCTCCTTTATGGTGGCTAAAGCAGCCTGAAGAACCCTTGAAAATTAATGAGTCGAGTATCCCCATGACCTGCCTGGCCTGAGTGTACATTTTGTGTGTATGTATATGCTCCTTACCTTTCAACCAACACTCCCTGAGTGCCATGCTCTGTGCTGAAAATATCTAGGTGAATCTCTGTCTCTGCTACAATCCATACCTCCTTGGGGGTAATGGATAATGAATAATGAAAATTGCTGGCATCGTAGACAACTGGCCACTTACAAGCCTCTGAGCTAGCCTGGAAGCTCCCTTCCTGTGTCGTGTGTGTGTGTGTGTGTGTGTGTGTGTGTGTGTGTGTGTGCGTGTGCGCGCGCGCGCGCATGCGCATCTAGTATGTGTGTGTTTATGCACCCTTGCTCACAGACATATTTGCTGGACAGCAAGAAGGAGGAGCGGCTGGGAAGAGTTGGGATCCTTTGCCGGTAAAAAGAAAGGTCATCAGGAGGGGCTGAGGCTCAGACACCACAGGACACCGAAGCCCGCTGAGAAAGCAGAAGGAGGTGTGGCATCCAGCTGTTCTTAGATCCAGGTAGGGTCTTTGAAATCAGATCTCCCTGAAGAAGCGCTCTTACACCCCTACCTCCTTCCATCTTCATTCTTCTCAGGCTCAATTTTCCCCTCCCCCTCCACCCCCAGCGTTGGGAGTTGGTATTTTTAGAAGCTGCTTAGAGACCCAGGACTCCTTTCATTTCAGAATGAGTCCTCACTCCACTACCCCTCACCCTTCTCTTCAAAACCGGGTCCCATCCCTTATGCAGTCTCTAAGGCGCCAGTCACAGCTTCTTACCTGCGCTCCAGGGACTTCAGCCCAGAGGTTCTGGCCCTGTATGCTAACACAAAATGCAGACTCCTTAGGAGCCTGGAATGGTCATTCAGGAGCCAAGCATATGGAGGAAATTATCTGGGGAAAGCCATACAGGATGCCCCAACAAACCCCTGGCTGTCCGGAGTCTGGTTCTCATCCTCTCCCACCACATGCATCTGTGTCCTCCTTGGGGAAATTGCCAGATTGAGACCCTAGCAATGGGGGAAAGAAGAGGAAAAGAAGATTGGAAACAGTCCTTCAGTCCTTTTCTTTCTTCCTCGGAACAATTCATTTATAATAAAACCAGGACGGAGATGCCTCAGTGTATAAGGATATATGCAAATCAGCAAGATCTTAAGAGTTCCTCCAAAGCGGACTCCACTCAACCAGGTGACTGCTGAATAGACACCTAAGTGAAGATATTCAAAAGGGCCTTAGAAGGAAACTAAGCTGTTTTACTGTGAACTTAAAGTGCTGGGGTCCAGTCAACCAAGGGCCAGGTTAGATTCTTCCCTGGAATAGCCAGTACAGGAGTGGGGTGGGGGTGGGGTTCTGGCATAGTGCTGAACTGTGAGCCCACCTGCCAGCTTCAGCCTGTAGAAAATTTTCTGTCCGTGGTGCTGAACCTACCAAAGTCTGGACCCTCCATTTTCAACTGGACCTGGGGCCCTTCTGCTGCCCTGCTCTAATCATCAGCCCAGGGCTCTCTGCCTTGTTCCTCCGGCCTATAACCCAGACCTAGCTATTTGCGCCTCCAGAAGGTAAGCAGCCTTACTTCATGGAGTAAGAGTGGAGGAAACTGGCACCCATCTGGAAACTCCTGTTTTCTCCTCTGCTCCTCCCCAACCCCATATGAGGTGGGATAGAAGGGATGCTTCTCTCTACTTCTACCTTACTCTCTGCAGCATGATGGGAAGAACACCTGTTGGAGCTGAGCAGCTTAATTCAACATCTAATTATTTATTAGAAGTGATCTTCCAGGAAGCCAATCCAACTTTACTGCAACTTCCATTTCCAAGTTACTGAAAGTTATACATCTAGGGGCTGAAAATTTGATCTCTTCCTTTTGCACAGATCCGGAAAGTACATTCATCCTGGCTAGACAGAGAAGGTCATCTCCTCCATGGAGAAGACTAAGATTGCTTCAGAGAATCAGGGCCAATCCCTCTCCTCAGAAAAGAGGACAAGGAAGGAGCAAAGAACAGTGGCAAGCCCTACTGCTCAAAGGGACATTTCCAATTTGTCTCTTCCCTCTTCCAGTCTATTTCCTACTCCCCAGCTTAAGAAAAATAAACATCCCCAAGGTGAATTATTTTCTAGGACAATAAATTCACAGGCAAAAATAAGATGGAAGTTACATACAAGTGTTTACATTGTATTTTTCTAAGATAAAGGAAATATAAAATATTGAATTCATTGACTTTGAAAATTAAGCAGCAAAAACCTTTCATTAATACAAATATTCAGACTTTATGATACTCTGCTTCCTCCTCTGTAAAATAAGAGTGAAAATACTTCAGAGTTATTGTGAGGTCAGAGTATAATTTATATATATATAATATATATTTATATATAT